GTGGGGAGAGGGAGAAGCAGACTTCCTGCTGAGCAGGGAGCCCGATGTGGGGCTCGATCCCAGAAGCCTGGGATCATGACTTAAGCCAAAGGCAGACGCTTAATCAGCTGAGCCACCCAGGCGCCCCTACATTCCATTTTCAAGAAAATTACAGCCAATTACATCCTCTAGGACCTTATTTATCCAATCTCTGCTTGACATCACAAAAATTATGATGAAACCCTGTATCATAATTATGTTTCTATAAATTGTTATTTCTAGCAGTTTTTTATTTTAGATCCTTCTCTCTGGAGTTTCTGGTACCTCACATTCCTCTGCAATGAGGTGTTTTATCTTTGTGAGATCACTTTTAATCTGTTTGGTGCCTCTTCCCTGGTATTCTACTTTGCTACATTTTACAGTTTCCTCTCTTCCTTTTCTGTCTTTCAGTCTCTACCACTCTGACTTGCTCTCTACCTTTTGTAGGGGAGGAAAAGTCCTATTCTCTCTACCTTCTAGGTTCTTAGCAGACACCCCTGTAATAAAGAGACAGATTAACAGGAGAAAAACAAGCAAAAGCTTAATAAAGTATACACATGGGGGAGACCCAGGAAAACTGAGTAATTCCCCCAAATGGCCCAAGCCCTCACCTTAAATACCATAAAAACAAAAGGTGCTGGGGGGTGGGGAGTCAGTTATGGGAGGTTTACCAGAAAAGGGACAGTAAATAAGAGTAAAGTTGTTATACAGCTTTTAAAAAGACTTAATTATTTATTTGAGAGAGAGAACGAGAGAGCACAATGTGGGGGGGGGCGCAGAGGGAGAAGATCTCAAGCAGACTCCCCACTGAGTGCAGAGCCCAGCCTGGGGCTTGGTCTCATCACCTATGAAATCATGACCTGAGACGAATTCAAGAGTCTAGGATGCTCAACCAACTGAACCCCCAGGCGTCCCTGCTATGCAGATTTAAGTTGTTGTCTTCTCCATTGATAGGAGTTTCTAGAGATTTAGGGTCTTCTTTTTCTTCTGGGTACAGAGAGGGAGACACCCTTACAAATGGAGATTTCCCGCATAAATGTAAATGTCTCTTACAGAAGCTTTGTTTTCAAAGCTGCTCCTGTGTTTGCAGTTTTTTGTTTTTTTTTAAATAACCAGTCTAAAATAATTCTTATGCCAAAGAGGTGTATTTTGGGGTGACAAATTCTGCCGTCCTTCACTTTCATGCTGGAGTCTGGCAGCCCTGTGTTCTCAGGGGACCAGAACATAAAATATCAGTCTATCACTCTTCTGTTGAAGCCCAGCCTAAAATAATATCTTTTATTCTCCCTTCCTTTTTATTTAGCCTCCTTCATTCTTTTTTAATGTATTATTTGACTGTTAAATGTTTTTTTTTTTCTTTTAAAGATTTTATTTATTTATTTGACAGAGCGAGAGAGGGAACACAAGCAGGGGGAGTGGGAGAAGGAGAAGCAGGCCTCCCGCAGAGCAGGGAGCCCGATGCGGGGCTTGATCCCAGGACCCCAGGGATCATGACCTGAGCCGAAGGCAGACGCTTAACGACTGAGCCACCCAGGCGCCCCCTGTTAAATGTTTAATCATTACGTAAATGACAGTGTTGTCAACTGATCTATACCAGTTTGCTCATTCACAAATTTATACCAATGGCATTCAATACATAGAGGTGTAGGTGAAAGTGATGAATATTCTCTCCATGCTTTCCTATCCAACTATAATGCAAAAACAAAAAGTTTCAGATTGACTCTAAGGGGCAGAATCTAGGTTCTTTGGCTGGTCTAATAATTGAATTGTCATAAGACAGATTAACAAGAGAAAAACATTTAATTACATACCTATGGGAGCCCCACAAAGATATGAAGACTCAGAGGCAGTCAGGTAATTGAGGCTTGTCTACCATCCAGGACTAAGGAAAAGGGTATAGGGGTCTGAGACTTCAAAGAGGAGGAAGACAATTGACAACATGAGAAGAACAAATGTTTGCCATGCCATGCAGATAAGTCTTTCTGATAGAAAAAGTTTTCTCTGGTAATGGCTTGTTTGCTGGCACAGGGTCCCTATCTAAATTCTTTGAAGCAGTTAAGGGGGAGGTAAAAAGTTCTTCTGGAGTCTGCTCGGCCCCAGTTGTCTTCAGGTTGAAATAACCCACATGCCAAAAGTGGCACGTTCTGGGGTGACATATTCTGCTCCCTCTCACTCCCTTTACTGAAAGCTCAGAGAAGCTCCAGCTCGCTTGTCCTTTTAGGCCTTCCAGTATTTTTTTCTCCTTTCCTTTTTTTTTAATTGAGATATAGTTTGTGTAACATAGAAGTTACCATTTTAATATGTCCAACACAATTCAGTGTCCAACATCTTTTTCTTTTAAAGATTTATGTACTTGAGAGAGAGGAGAGAACATGCGAGGGGGGGGGGGCATGGGGAGAGGGGGAGAGAATCTTCAAGCAGACTCCCTGCTGAGCACAGAGCCTGACACAGGGCTCAATCTCAGGATCCCAAGATCATGACCTTAGCCGAAATCAAGAGTCGGATGCTCAACCAACTGAGCCACCCAGGCGCTCTAACATCTTTGTTTTTAATTGAGGCAAAATCAACATAACATAAAATTAACCATTAGCCATTTTAAAGTATGCAGTTTAGTGCTATCTAGTATATTCACAGTGTTGTGTAACCATCACTTCTAACCAGTTCCAAGACATTTTCATCACCCCAGAAGGAAACCTATACCCATCCAACAGCATTTTACCGGAAATGTTCACTCAACACAAATATGACAGCATTCTAAAAGTGGGTTTAGCTAACCTCCTAACTGGAGGCAGGCCAGATGAATTTTCCAAGAAAGTAACTAAACGTAGGGCCATTTTGGAATGAAGCCAAAGGTGCCATTTTGAAAGGGAAGAGATCTCTGGGTTCACTAGATTCTTAGAACTTGTTTCAGTAAAGACAGTGCCTCGTCAATATTTGTAACTGATCCATTCATTTTGAATACAGTCATTTAACTACAACTCATTTCTAACATCCTTTATGGTAATTAACAATGTTTCCTGTGTTGATCAAAGATAAACTACTGAGGCATTTTGTCAGCCACTTCTGAAGTGTGGGCTTCTGATAGAAATTTGCTACTCCTGGAGCATATATTCCTAATTAGGGTAACTGACCACCCTAAGAGGGTAAATTGTACTTAACAGACTGACTCATATAGATCATATTATCCATGTTGAATTACCGTAGTATTAACATCATATACACCAATAACTTTTACAACTCTAATTATAAAAATTGATTAAAAAAATGACAGCAGAGGGAATATTAAAATGGAGCTCTCAAGGAGCATGTGTCCCAGGGCAAGCTTGAAAGTGTAATCTGGTTGCTATGTTGAGAGTGATTCCAATGGTTAAAGATACGTATTATTCTTACAACATGGCATCTTAGCCTAAGGAAGCTATTTCATCTGGTCTTCAACTGAAGAGGCAGTAGTCTTCTGCTTCAACATGGAAGAAAAATGGGTTGCGCTATGCTTACTGAGAGGCCCAGTTTTCCAAAATGGTTAAAGAATTTTCAAGGGTCGTTTTGATAATCTCTGATTTTTACTGTAACTACTTTATTTTATTTTTTAAAAAAGATTTATTTGTTTGAGAGAGAGAGGGCATGAGCAGGAAGAGGGGGAGAGGGAGAGAAGCAGACTCCCCACTGAGCACTGAGCCTGACATGGGGCTCAACATGGAGCTCAGTCTCAGGACCCTCAAATCATGACCTGAGCCAAAATCAAGAGTTGGACACTCAACCAACTGAATGCCCCTGATTTTTACTGTAATTATTTTAGAATCCACCTCTGCCACCTGAGTCCCTCTCCAACACTCCCCTTCCCCCGGCACATACACACTGTAAGATGAGACTGGTCGGCATGAAGCTAGGCTCTTTGAAGTTCCTGAAGAAGTTTAAGTTGGGCTCTCCAGTGCACTGAAAGGATTTCAGATCTGTCTATTGAAAGAATATTCAGAAAGAATATTATCTTCTCTATGTAGTAGTGCCCCCCACATCCAAGGGGTATATGTTCCAAAACCCCCAGTGGATGCCTGAAACCACAGGTAATACTGAACCCTATATATACTGTTTTTTTCCTATGCATACATACCTATGATGAAGTTTAATTGGTAAAATTAGCACGGTAAGAGATTAACAACAATAAGTAATAATAGAACAATTATAACAATATGCTATAATAAGCTATGTGAACGTGGTCTGTTCCTCAAAATATCTTCTCCTACTGTACTCATTCTTCTTGTGATGATGTGAGATGGTAACACACCTACATGATGAAATGCAGTGAGGTGGATGATGTAAGCATTGTGATGTAGTGGTAGCCTCCTATTTTTTTAAAGATTTTATTTATTTATTTAAGGGGGAGAGAGAGAGAGGAAGGGAGGGAGCAGGAGCTTGCGGGGGGAGGGGCAGAGGGAGAAGGAGAAGTAGGCTCCCCGCTGAGCAGGGAGCCCGATGCAGGGCTCCATCCCAGGACCCCGGGATCATGACCTGAGCTGAAGGCAGATGCTTCATCGACTGAGCCCCTCAGGCACCCCAGTGGTAGGCTCCTATTGACCTGGACATAGGGCAAAAGGAGGATCATCTGCTTCTGGACCCAACTGACTGCAGGTAACTGAAACTGCAGGATGCAAAACCATGGCTAAGGGGGGATCCTACCATAACCTACATCTAGAATCCCATTGTGAAATTCCAAAGCCAGAAACTAGCTCAGTTTATAGTAGAACTGAATGATGGGTTTGTGGCTTGAATATCATGTCCTTATTCTAATCTGATGGTGATGCAAATATAATCTTTATATATGGTAACTTAGATTGTGTGTCTGTTCTCAGAGCTGATGTGTAGAATGTCTTTGTAAAAATCTCAGTTTTTGTTTTTACATTAACAAGTATGCAGACAGTAGCTGTATTGATTCTGAGTTTGCTGAATTTTTTTCATTTCTTAGTTTCTAATTATGATTCCAACAGGTATTATCTTTTGATGCCTATTTAGAAGATGAAGTGCCTGATAGAAGTCAAGAAAACTATAGAATCAGACGCTATAAAATCTACTTCTACCTTGAAGATGACACAATTCAAGTAAATGAACCAGTATTGAAAAATAGTGGAATGCTTCAAGGTATCTATTTAAAGCAGAGTTCTGCTTCTCTTACTTCCGATGCCTGCCTTTATATACTGCCTTTCTCTAGCTTTTTAAAAGATGCCGTGTACTTGCAAGATGTCTAACTTGTTGGTGACAGTGAACATAAACATGCTGGTAGCTTGTGTCGTTGATGGTGACTTACCCACTTTCTACCCCCCACACCTCACCATGGACCATTTCACTCACTCTTGTATGGCATATTCGTTTTCTGTCAGGCATTGCTCTAGTATGAGCAGACTCCCCTGTGTCTCTGGTCTTTTTACCATGACCATACTACTGCTTTCATAACACTTTGAGGAGAAGAGAGGAGACTGTTGTCCACTGCCCCTTCCAGATTGCTACTCTTTTCTTTCTTGAATTCGCTGCCGTTTGCTTCAGCCTCCCTCTCCTCCTCCTCATACCTGTTCACTAGAGACTCTGATGGTTCTTCAGCAGAGGGTCATTGCTTCTTCACCCCCTGTATGCCAGTCACCTTTATCCATAGTCCATTTTAACCAGACAAGAGTTAACTCTGCACCGTGGCCACCAGAGGAGCTAATCCTAAATTGCATTATTAGAAGTAGGGTGGAGATCGGGGGAGATGACTGATTTCTTCTGTTTGTGCTATGAGCTCTTCGCTTGGGACAGTGCTGAGATCTGGTTATGTTCAGGGGACAGCAACCACAGTGGTTAAAAGGACTGAAAATTTGTCGTGTGTAAGGTAGAAGAGTGAAAGGGATATTTGTCCATAAAGGGAAGACTCTGGTGTGCCTAGGAAATGTCTTCAGGAACCTGAAGGGCTGCCATGGGGAGGAAGGGTGACCTAATTTTCTGTATCCTCAAGGATAGGACCTAGGGGGTCAGAAGAATTCTTCTTGGTAAGAAGAATAATTTTCTAGCAGAGAGCTGCCAGAGGTTGTAGTGGATGGTTCGGGATGAGCATGGGGGTCAGGGTCGGGTGTAGGGGAGGAGAGGGGTATCCCATATTTGTTTCATCCTTGGTATAGATAGATGGCCCTGGGGGCAGGTCAGGGGTTATTTTTCACTGATAGCTTAGTAGAGGTATGGTGAGGGGAGTCAGGTATTTGTTTGGTGGTTGGTGTAGATGACCTTTGAAGACCACTTCGAGCCCTCAGGAGCCATGATTCTTACGTACATTTATTGTCTCTGTCTTTCCTGGAGTATTGCCATCTTCAACACCTTAAGCCCTGAAATTGCCTTCTCCACTACAGTCTCTACTCCTTTGACATTCCCTAATTGTTCACACCCACCATCCTTGTTCTGCATTCTGCTAGCAAAACATATCCTGAATCTATGTCTCTCTATGCCCTTTGCTACCCTACTAACCCAAGCTGCCTTCATTTCTTGACTAGAAGAATAGAATAGCTGCCTGATAGGTCTCTCTGCATCCATTTCTGCGCCTCCTACAACCTATTCTCTACCCAGCAGCCAGAGTACTGTGGGGGGTATTATCTCAATGCTGTGATGGCCTCCAAGAAGCGTGCCTGTAGGCTTTCCCAGAGGCCACAGAACAAAGCCTCCTGGACCAAATGAAAATGCATCAATCACATGAGGCACTAAAACAATTCAGAATACACAATGAGAAGCAAGGGCAAAGAAACGGGGTAAGTTCACACACACAGGACAAGGTACAAGTGGGTGGAAGGACAACTCTGCCTGAATCCTGGGGTAGACAATGGTCCAGTCTGTCTTTGCTGTGTCAGCTTTTCCTGCCAATAGTGTGGTTTGGAGACCAGAGTGGAGTTCAAATAAGGAGGACCACAGACAGAGGGGACCTTGAGCTATTGGCACACACTCTGTTGGCAAGACAAGGGGATAAGTGGGCCTGGCCACAGCTGTAGCTCACCAATAAGCTTGCTGAGTAGTCTGGGTTTTGTTTGTTTCTTGGGGAAAGGACACATGGGGCCAGAATGGGTGTCACCAATGAATGAGTGGCCGAATTAAGGCCTCATGAATATTGAGTACTCATGAATATTTACTGCTCTTGTATATTTAGTGCATCATGAATATTTAGAGCCCAGGTGCCTCATATGTATTTAATACAAATGGAAAATTAATTATTTCCTGGTCCTTCCATCCCTTTCTTTATATGTTTGACATATACATGTTCTATTTACTATCTACTTATTGTTGTTGTTTAACATATCTTAGGATTTTCTGCCAACGTGGAATAAATTTTTTCATTACTAACTACTTATCTGGGCCCATTACAGCCATGTTGATATACCACAATGGGTTCTATGGGAAGAAACAGAGGAATTTGGGGACCATGGGCCTCTGAGCATAAGGTTGTGATGAGGCAATATGCAGAGGACTTCCTTCAGTCCTCATGAGATTGAGGTTTTCTTAGCACATAGCTCCATTGTGTCTGGATGATGAATTTGGGGCCAGTCAGCATTGCCAAGAAGTGTCTGTTGAATGTCTACTCTGTGCCAGGAACTGTGCTAGGTTTTGGGAGAATGGACAAAAGTAAGACGACCTCCATCTCATAGAGCTTATGGGCAAACAGGTTGGAGAGGGAAGGGAGCAAGGTGACTGGTCCAAGAATTTCGCAATTGCTCTGTTTAGAACAAACCAGGACAATGATGGTAGGAATAGAAAACAGAGGAAAGACTTTCTAGACATTTGGCTGGCAGATTTGATAGGCCTTGACGAACAATTAAATATAGAGAATGAGGAAGGGGGATATCTAATGATAAAGCATCTACTTTAGCATTATCTCATTTAATCCCCCAGTGACCATCTAAAGTAGGTCATTCTCAACTTCTACAGAAAAAGAAACAGGCATAGAGAGGTGATTTGCTTCATCTAAACCTTAACTGATTGCCTCAGAGCTCACTCTGTGGTTGAAAAGATGGTGATGCATTCATAAAACCCAGAAGCATGGTGCAAGGAGCAACACTGGGGGTAGAGGTTGGGTATGTTTGTTTTGACACATGAGGCCTTTGAATGTGGGTTGGGACATCTGTATGGTGAGGCCCACCAGGCAGGTAGAATCTTGGGATGTGTTTTCAGGAAGAAAGTCAAGACTGGAGATGTGGACTGTGAATCAAAGGTGCCCAGATCATGACCGGAATGATTTGGCTTATTCTACCACGTTGGAAGAGAGGCTATGTTGAGGTGGTGGAAAAAGAAAGAAGATTGGATTTAGTGTCTGTACTTGGTTTTACTAGTGGAGGGAGGAAGTGAAGGTTGGTGTGAGGAGATGATATGAGCTGTCCTCTTGTTCTTTGTGTTCTGACATACTATCCACTCCTGGGTCTTTTTATTTGAATGGAAGTATGACATATTGCGAAGAAACAAGATGTCTACAGACTCTTTAGGGTCATTTTTTTTGGGGGGGGGGATTTATTTATTTATTTGAGAGAGAGAGAGAACGTGAGCAAAGGAATGCCTGGGTGGCTCAGTCAGTGAAGCATCTGCCTTTGGCTCAGGTCATGATCCCAGGGTCCTGGGATCGAGCCCCGCATCGGGCTCCCTGCTCATCAGGGAGTCTGCTTCTCCCTCTCCCCGTGTTCCTACCCCCTCCTTGTGCTCTTTCTCTGTGTCAAATAAATAAATAAAATCTTTAAAAAAAAAAAAGAAGCCTAGTAAGGGAATATCAGAGTAAAGCAATTAAGTGAACATAAATATAAATTTTTATAAATATATATTAATATAAAAATATGTATAAGAAAATATGTTTTGCTAAGGCAGTATTGTCACATAATTAAATACACTTAGGTAAAAGAGATGTTCGTAGAATTTAAAAGTTGTGGATTTTCTTTCTGTTAGGAAGTAATTCTTTTTATTTGTCAGAGAGTGAGCACAATTGGGAGTGGGGAGTGGGAGAGGGAGAAGCAGGCTTCCCGCTGAGCAAGGAGCCTGATACAGGACTCGATTCCAGGACCCCAAGATCATCACCTGAGCCAAAGGCAGACGCTTAACCGACTGAGCCACCCAGGCGGCCCTTCTTGCTTGTTGTTTGATGACCTTCCTCACATGACACCAAATTTACACAAATGACAGACTGGAGGTAACAGAACATCCTGAACATTTATCAGTGACTTGCATTTGTTTTTATTATTATTCCTTTTTAACTGAAAGCTCATATTCCTGCAGCTTACTGCTCCCTGTATAGTGAGTCTTTAGTTTTACTGAACTATCCAAGAAGAAAAATGAAATGCAACCTCTATGGGGATCTTGGAAAGGCTTATATAAGACTTTTCAATTGTCTCAGCCTCTTGATTTCAAATCTCACATCGGCAGATTCCAAAGGCAAACTGAAGTTAGTCATAATGATTTATTTGAAAGTAATTTTTAGGTGAGTAGGGGGGATTGTGATTCATAAAGACTCAGGGGTGGAAAAAACCAACTCTGAGTAAAAGACAACTTTAAAGCCTCTTGAAAATTTCAGCATTTCTGATTGGCTCTCTCTGATCAGTTTCCCTGAGGGAAGGCACAGTTTGAGGGATGTGTAGGGAATACATGGTCATCACGATATGTAACAAGACTGAATTTGTCAGCAGAGATACCTGGCAGGCTGTAGCAAGTACGGTGGAAAGCAAACACAAATAACCACTCTATCATCAAACTGTGTTTATTCAGCAAGAAACTGGTCTTTCTTGAAATATTTAATATGATAATTCTTGTTAAGAATTCGGACAGAGGATACTTTGGAAAATCACTTAAGGGGCACCTGGGTGGCTCAGTCGGTTAAGCGTCTGCCTTCGGCTCAGGTCATGAGCCCAGGGTCCTGAGATCGAGCCCTGCATCGGGCTTCCTGCTCAGGGGGGAGCCTGCTTCTCCCTCTCCCTCTGCCTGCCTCTCTGCCTATTTGTTCTCTCTCTCTCTCTCTGTCAAATAAATAAATAAATAAGGCTTTTTAAAATGAAATGATTGGGAAAAAAGAGCAGACAAGCTCAGTGGGCCAGTGGCTCAGACCTTGGTGGGACGGGGTAGGGGGTGTTCCTTTCAGTTGTGTCTCAAGTGGCCTG